TCATCTTATTGGGGGCTCTTACAGCTCTTATAACAATCGATACTTCAGTTGTATCAAGCACATTTGTACGTATGTTGCCATCATCATTTTCAAAGTAAAATGCGGATTTTTACCTGGATCATTTCTCCCATTCATTTTTCTAAAAAAATGATTTTATTGGGGCCTCTTACAGCTGTTATAACAGTTCAGACATCAATTGTATGTTGCCATCATTATTTCCTAAACGTTTACATTCTATTTGAATCCTTGGTATCAGCTCTTCTTTTTGGAGTCCCTCCCTGTCTCATGGCCCTTTGATAAATTATAAATTATTATTTTCGTATCTTAACCAACAGCTGTCTCCTTTCCCCTTCCACCTCTCCCCACCTTCCCCTACCCTCCTGGTATCACTACTCCCACTTTTGTTCCTGGGGTTTATCTGACCTGGGTTCCTTGTGTGTCCTGAGCTCTTATCTATACCTGTGTACATGCTCCATCCTGGCTTGCAGTGAAAGGCAGGATTGGGGTCATGATAGAGGGAGGTGAGGAAACCTCAAGACCCAAAGGAATATTGTGTTTCATCCGTGCTGTACTACTACACCCTGGTTGACCCATCTCTTCCTTGCCACCCTCTGTGAGGGGATGTCACATTATTTACAGATGGGTTTGGGGTCTCTACTCTGACCTCCCTTTTTCTCAACAATATGTTTTTTGTTTGTTTTGGGTCTTCTGATGCCTGTTACCTGATCCCGTGGACACCTCATGATCCCATTCATTTTTAAATGCTTAATTTGTGCCACATCTCTTAATCTTTTGACTCATTTTACTTTTTTTGTTTGTTTAAACAAACTTTTTGTTTGTTGGCCTTTCTGGGCTCTTTGTTTTATTTTTGGTATCCGTGGGCTCTTCCAGACCTTTAATTCATCTAAATTATAATGCATGTGCAACTGAGTAGCCGTACCTTATACATGTAACCATTCACCTTCAAACCTCAAGGTCATTACCTTCCGGCTCTCTATAGCACCTACTCTTAGGCCTTTCTTTGTGATTTTGTTTTTGTTAGGTACCATCAAGTCCGTTCCGACTCATAGTGACCCCCTGTAAAACCCCCGTAAAGGGCACTGCTCAGCCCTGCGCCATCCTCACCTTTGTTTTATTTAAACCCATTGCTGCAACCACTATGTCAGCCCATCCCTTTGAATGTTTTCCTCTTTTTCAGTGACCCTCCACCAAGCAGGTTGACATTTTCCAGGGTCTGATTTCTCCTGTACGTCTTTCAAGACAGATGTGTGTGTTCTACTAGCAGCCCACAGGATTTCAGTACTCATTGCCAGCCCATAATTCAAAGGCATCAATTCCTCTCCAGGCTTCCTTATTCATTGTCCAGCTTTTACACCAGAAGAGGTGATTGAAAATACTGTGGTTTGGGTCAGGCACATCTTGGTCCTCAAAGTGACAGCTTTGATCTTCAGCACTGTTCTTGTGATTAGCAACATAGAATTGCTTTCTTAGAGCTCTTATAACATTCCATGCATCATTTGTGTCAAGCTTATTTGTACATATATTGCCATGATCATTTTCTAAACACTTTCTATTTGAGCCCTTGGTATCAGCTCCTTTTTATTCCCTTCCTCCCAGCCACCACCCCCCTCACTCATTGTTTTGTTTTTAATCAACCCTTTAATTCATACTCATAGGCCACCGTGAATCAGAATGGACTCAATTGACAGTGAGTTTTGGTTTTAAGTAATATAAGCTTGCTTTGTGTTGGAAATGGCTGGATGGCAGGGAGCTTGGCTTTTGGTTTTTAAAATAATACACAAGTTCATATTAGCTTTCAAGTTGGCCATACATTTAGGTGCTGGATAGTATTCCATTGTTTGAATATGGAGCGATTTCCCCCCTATTATTGGTATATATTTAGGTTGTTTGAGTTTAAAGTCCTACAAATAATGCTCCTTTGAAGATACCAGTGCATGTGTTGTGGTGCAAATGTGTAGTCATTATGGGAACATATATACCTAGTTGTATACATCAGAGGAAGTATCCCTGCTTACGCAGTGAGTTAAATCATCTGCTGCTCATGAAAGGTTGGTGGTTTGAACATGTGAGATTTGTGGGAGCATGATGTGGCAGTCAGCTTTGGTAAAGATTACGAATTTGGAAACCCTGTGGAAGTGTTCTTAGTGTGACTGAGGCAGAACCCACTCAACAGCAATGAGTTTTGGTTTCACACCTCAGACTCAAATTGTCATTCTAAAGTCTCTGTAACTCCAACCTAATAGATGATGCCTACGTATTTTTTTCAAGTGGCAGTTCCCATTAACAGTGAAAACTCTAGCAAAATAGTTTTCACTCTGTAGTTAGTGATTTATGTGGTATGTGTATAAGGGGGTACCCCCCTCCCCCAAATTGGAAAACTCTGCTAGGTGGAGTTTTTGTAGTGTGCATTTTTCCCCCGCTAGGTGAGCACCCAGCAACTCATAGAGTTAGTGCACCCAGTGGCGTCACCTGGGAAGGTTCCTGGGAAGGTTCTCTCGGATCACAGTGGAATTTTTTGTAAAAGCAGCTTCACACCTTATTTTTTGTGGTGGCTCATTTAAGAGAACAGTGTGTAGCTATGAAATTTTATTTCTTTTCTTTTTTTTTTTAAACATTTTATTAGGGGCTCATACAACTGTTATCACAATCCATACACCCATCAATTGTGTAAAGCGCATTTGTACATCCATTGCCCTCATCATTCTCAAAACATTTTCTCTCCACTTAAACCCCCGACATTAGGTCCTCATTTTTCCCCTCCCTCCCCGCTCCCCCGAAATTTTATTTCTTGTTCTGGGAAAATGCTGCATAAACGGTTGCAATGTTGAACACAGGTTACAAGGACAGCGCCATGGGAAAAACTCAAGTGTACAGATGGTTTTCTTGTTTCAAAAAAGGTGAAATGTCGTTTGATGACAAACCTCCTTCAGGATGTCCATCAACTTCTTGAATGGATGAAAATGTCGTCGACTCATAGTGCATTTGGAGGTCCTTCCACCAGGTCAGGCTGTTATTTGAGCTTTCTACTTAGAGATTCTGAAAAGATTGAGTAACAGTGTGCAACAAAAAAGGTCTGATTTGTGGGAGCCAGGGGATTGGTTTTGCCACCACCACCTTGCACTTGCTCAGGATGCAGCCATCTCAGTGTTCCAGTTTTTGACAAAAAACAGCATGTGTCTCTTGGTGACTCACCTGACCTTGCTCTGAGTGACTTCTTTCTGTTTCCAGGAAACAAGAGGGACATGAAAGGACAGCGACTGACAAAGTAGAAGAGGTGAAGAGAAAAACGAGGAAGGTGCTGTCAGTCATCCAAACAGATGAATTTGAAAAATGTTTCCAAGAATGGAATCGCAGATTTGACAAATGTATGAACTGCGATGGAGAGTACACTGAAGGTTGTTGTGTAAAAAATTGAAATAACCTAGCTTTGAAAAAAAATTCCGTCAGAGTGGAGACCCAAAGCCGATCTGTAGGCAGTTGGTCATCCCCTCACAGAAGGGTCACAAAGAAGGGATGAGCCAACCAAGGTGCACCGACAAACCACACAACATTCCTCTAGTTATTTTAATGCTTCCACCCCCCCATTGTCATGGCCCCAGTTCTACCTTACTGATCCGGGTAGAGTGGAGCATATACATTGGTACAGTTAAGAGCTCTTAACACACGGAATACAGGACAGATAAACCCCTCAGGAATAATGCGAGTAGTGATACCATGAGGGAAGGGGGAAGTGGGAGAGAAGGGAAACCTGTCAGGGTAGCCAGCCCCTAACTATAATCATCACAGGCCCGGCAGGCGCAATTGTGCAGCGATAATAAGTAAAGGTTATGGTAAAGTCATAGAGAGCATGAGAGATAGAAGAGAGTGTGAAATAAAGGAGTCAGACACATTTCATGGTAGCATGCTCACCTCCTGGATGGCCATGATCTCACCAGCCAGGTACACACACAGCGCAGGTAGAGGAGAGGGGGCAGGAGAGAGAGTGTCTTTATTGTTTTGGGGCTATTTGTAGGTAGCTATAAGACATGCATATTCAGTAGTTGCATATGTCACAAGGTGGGTGGTAATCACAGTAAAGTCTCTGAGCTCATAGGTGAGGAAACCCAATACCTGCATTGGGGGAAGACATGAGAGGGCATGGGTGCTTCGGTGGGAGGAGATAAAGAATGTGTGCCTCTACAGGGAGAGAATCAACCATGTGCTTACTTTAGGGCTATTATGAGAGAATTTGGGAATGACATTAATTAGTTTCCCACAGAAACATATCACAACGATTGATGTATCCCCTCCCCATGACGAACAACAGAAACTTGGGTGAAGGGAGACAGCAGATGGTGTAAGATACAAAAATAATCATTTATCAAGGGTTCACCTGGTGGGAGAGTGGGGGAGGGAGGGAGGAAAAAACGCTGATACCAAGGGCTCAAGTAGAAAGAAAATGTTTTGAAAATGATGATGGCAACATGTGTACAAATGTGCTTGATACAATTGATGTATGGATTGTTATAAGAGATGTAAGAGCCCCCAATAAAATGATTTATTTTATTTTTTAAAAAAAGAAAAGAAAGAAAATTCTGGGTTGTTTTGGGTACCCACACGCATGTCCTAGAACAGAAAGCCAAGCACAGTTAGCTGTATTTAGGACCTTGTGTTAAGGTGAGTACAGACCACAAGTACGATTGAATTTTCCCTTCAGCCTACAGGTCCTGGACTCTGGACCCTCCAGCAGCCAGAGAATCACTTGAAGGAAGAGTACTGTGACACTAACGATGGCAAGAAGCAGTCACAGAAAAACAGTTGCAGCAGAACCAGCGGATGAAAGAGCGGTAGGTTTTCTGGCGTACGGACTGAGTACCTTCCGGCAGGTGGCGTGCTGGCTGAGGGTTGTGCCCTTGGGCATCTGTCTGGAGACCTAGGTTTGCCAAGCCATACCTTAGAGCTGAATGCCTTTGTGCCAAAGCTTATTGGAGGTTGGGGTGAGTTTGAGCATATATTTGGCCAAACCAAAAGAGACCGAGTGCTAAAAGAACTTTGTAACACTTGCCCGAGCAGGGTAGGGGCCGAGTGGCTAAGAGGCCTGTGGGCGTGGCTGAAAAGATGTGCTGTTCCGGTTGAAGAGCTGTGCTGAGCATTTCTGATCCTGAATTGTAACTTGTTAACCTCTTTAATAAATCTCATAATCGTGAACATTGTCTCCGAGATCTCTTGTGTCCATTGCAATAAATGACTGAACCCAGCAGAGAAATTAAAAGTGCCATGGAAGAGATGGTTGGTATCATAATTGGTTTAAAAGGTTGGTGGTAGAGACGTGCCTGACCTCTGCCTCATAAGAATTCGCCTTGGACAGATGTGGATTGTAATCCTCTTCCTTTGGGAATTTGGAGGTCTGGTGTGGCTCTCGTACTAGTGGTGCCGTTAGACATGCTCCTATGCCCTTTCTTTGGTACATCTTGCACGATTTAAAAAAAAATTATACATTGCTATTGAAACATCATCTACTTAGTGTCTTTGATACACTGTTGCCTTTTAATGCATATGTATTATCTTTCTGTGTCTATTAATTCTTTCCCCCAGTGTTGCCTTATCATCTTGTGTCTTTTTTTCTTCCAACTTTCTTCTTTTTATTTTATTTTATTTTTTATTAAAGAATCATTTTATTAGGGGCTCATACAACTTATCACAATCCATACATGCATCATTTGTGTCCAGCACATTAGTACATATATTGACTTCATCATTCTCACAACACCCGCTTTCCACTTGAGCCCCTGGTGTCAGCTCATTTTCCCCCTCCCTCCCCGCTCCCCCTGAACACTTGATAATTTACAAATTATATTATTTTATCATATCTTACCCCATCTAATGTCTCCCTCACCCACTTCTCCACTATGCGTCCCCCAGGGAGGAGGCTATATGTAGACCTTGTCTTCTGTTCCCCCTTTCTCCTTCACTCATCTTGTGTCTTTTTTAAAAAATTTACTTTTATTATTTTTGTGTGTGTGTCTTGTGTTTTAGACATATTTTAATACTTTTTTGCATTCTGTTCCACATAATATATGAGAGGGGCCTCTAAAAGTTCATGGAAAACTTCATTGATCTTTTTTTTAAATCATTTTATTGGGGGCTCATACAACTCTTATCACAATCCATACATACATCAATTGTATTGATCTTTTAATTCCATTTGTCCCTGAGCTTTGTACAACTCTTATCACAATCCATAAATACGTCCACTGTGTCAAGCACATTTTACATTTGTTGCCATCTTCATTTTCAAAACATTTTCTTTTTTTTTTTTAATCGTTTTATTGGGGGCTAGTACAACTCATGTGTTGAGCACATTTGTACATTTGTTGCCATCATCATTCTCAAAACATTTGCTTTCTACTTGAGCTCTTGGTATCAGCTCCTCATTTTCCCCTCCCCTCCTCCCTCCCTCCCCAAACCTTGATAATTTAGAAATTATTATTTTGTTTTATGTCTTACACTGACCGATGTCTCCTATCAGCCACTTTTCTGTTGTCCATCCCCCAGGGAGGGGGTTAGATATAGATAATTGTGATCAGTTCCCCCTTTCTCCTCCCACCTTTCTCTTACCCTTCTGGTATCGCTACTCTCATTATTGGTCCTGAGGGGTTTATCTGTTCTGGATTCCCTGTGTTTTCAGCTCTTATCTGTATCAGTGTCCCTCCTCTGTTCTATCTAGATTTGTAAGGTAGAATTGGGATCATGATAGTTTGGGGTGGGGAGGAAGTATTAAAGAACTAGAGGAAAGTTGTATGTTTCATTGGTGATATCTGTACCATTACTGGCTCATCTCCACAAGACCCTTCTGTAAGGGGATGTCCAGTTGCCTACAGATGGGCGTTGGGTCCCCAATCTGCACTCCCCCTCATTCAAAATTATAGGATTTTTTTGGTTCTTTGATGCCTGATACCTAATCCTATTGACACATCTGGCATCTTTTCACTGTAGATTTTGACATTGATTATATAGATTTTTGTTAAATTTAGGGACATATTTCATTCTCCTGATGTCACCAGCATTTATTTATCTCTTAGCAAATAAAATGGTCAACTACATATACTTGAAAACATGCACACGTGTATCCACAGATGCACAGATGCATGTACACTCATTGTGTGTGTGCATGTGAGATACCACTAGCCTAAAGGATTTCACTGCTGGACAGTACAGACACATCTAATTTGATGACTAGATGGATGATTAAGAACACAGCTGTAGAATATTGTGTTGGTACTGTTCAAAAGCACTATAAATGTATCACCCTATATCAAGGACATGTGCAGATCTGTTCCAAGGAGTCACCCATGTGGCCCAAGGGAAGTCACGTCCCTGAACATGACCCCGTTATAACAGGTATCACTGGCGTTCAACGATGTGGCTGTGGAGTTCTCCCAGGAGGAGTGGCAGCTCCTGGACCCTGCCCAAAAGAGCTTGTACCGGGAAGTGATGTTGGAGAACTATCGCCACCTGGTGTCTACCGGTGAGGACGCTCCCCTGTCACTGGCCGTTTCTCTCTCAGCTGCTGAAGCCGTTGGGGCATCTGTGGGTCTCTGAAATGACAGCCCCAGAAATGTGTTCTTTCTTGTTCAAGAGAGGAAAACCCTGATGTGTTTACAAACAGCTCGACCCTTTATGTGACATAGGGCAATCATCACAAAGCCAAGGTCAGTTGGGTGTAATTCAGGAGCTCTGGTAGTGCAGTGGATTAAGCGCTGAGCTGCTAACCCAAAAGCGTCAGGTGTGAGCCCACCCGCTGCTCCACCCGATGAGGCAACCTTCTGTGAAGATCTGCAGCCTTGGAAACCGCGTGGAGCAGTTCTAGTCTGGGTGCTACGGCCGTCATGAATTAGAATCC